GGGTTATATGGAAACTCACTGTATGATCTTTGCAACTTTTTTAAATCTAAAATTATTCCAAATAAAAAGCTAGTAAAAAAAATAGTATAAAAATAGTATCCTCAAAAATCCTACTTAAATGAAATGTGTCATTTCTTGCCTGCTGGGACACAAACTGATAGAATTTCCATATTCAGCTACTATAAACAATAACAATGTATAGGATTGAGGAGCAATGAGGAACAGTAACAATCAAGGAAGCAGGAGAAGGAGGAAGAGGAAGAGAAAGAAGAAAAGGAGGAGAAACAGGAGGAGGGAGAAACAGCAGCAGCAGCCTACATTTATTGAGCATTTAAATGCCAGGCATTTTCTTAAGTACTTGGTATAAACAATCTCATTTAATCTCTGAAACAACCAGATAGGGCGTTATTTTACTGAGTAATCTCCCGATTTTACAGATGAGGAAATTGCAGTAGAGAAGGCTACATGACTTGTTCAAAGTCACACAGTTAATAAGTGGTGGAGCTGGGAATCAAATTCAGTTAATCTGTCTCCTGAGTCCTCATTCAGAAACATTTTCCTGGGGCACCTGGGTGGCGCAGTCGGTTAAGCATCCGACTCTTGGTTTTGGATCTGGTTAGTGGTGATCTCGGGTCATGATCTCGGGTCGTGAGATCAAGTCCCATGTAGGGCTCCACACTGAGCACGGAGTCTGCTAATGTTTCTCTCTCTCATCCCTATGCCCCTCCCTGACTCGCACTCTCTCTCTAAAATAAATAAATAAATCTTTAAGGGAAAAAAAAGAAGCATCTTCCCATTTGATCTCTCATAGTCCATGCATCTACAACATCAACCCGCTCTTTCAGCCCCTGCTCTTCCCTCGGAAATAGCTTCCAAAGAAGGTAACATAGGCATTAATTTACATTTGACCCAAATACTTCTGCAAATGTGATCCATCTCCATGGAAGCCAAAAGGATGTAGTCCTGAGCTGCCTTTGCATAAGAGAATATTTGAAACTCTAATCATCTTAGGTGTCTTTTTCCCTGTGCACAGAGCCCAGAGCTCATTCTGATGTTTGTGTTTATCTGTAAACACATTCTTATACCTAGAATTTGATCAATTGCAATTATATTTCCAATGAAATCTTACCAGCTTGCCTATTTTGAAGTAGATGTGAATTATCCAATTCATTCTGAGAACAAGAAGCAAAGGATTCACTTGAAAAAATTCTTAAGTGGAAATTTTTTTAAGATTTAACTGAGATTTTTCGCTTCTTATTTTCCCTGTAATAATAGATGGTTTTCTATCTAGGCAAGAATATCAGCCAAGACTTCTGTTCTCTTACAATATGTCAGTTGTGCCATTGGCATGCCCACTATCTGCAGCAGATGAAAATATTTTTAATCAACTCCTCAAAACAACTAGGACTTCAGGCATCTCCCAAAACATTGGTCCCAACTTGCCTGCTATTTTTCAAATTTTTGTCTAAGGAGATCATAGATTCCTCAGGATTCTTCAGGTACCCAGTAAACAAAACTCAGCTTTTTTTTTTTTTCCTTTTTTGGTGGAACTGTGGGGAAAAAAGTGGATCAAGTTATCTCTCCATAGATACATGATAGGTAGGTAGGTAAATAGATGATAGATATCTCTATTTTTCAGATCACTTGTTCTCCGTATTGATCTCATCCTCTCCTACTATATAAAGGAGAGCTTCCTACATCATGAGAAGACTAGCATTAGACTTGGGCTAATACCTAGATTATCCTATTCCAGCTAGTCACCCCCAAGAAAGCTTCTCTACCCCCATCTTTATATGAAGTCCCAGGCCACCTTCCCACCCCTAACACAGATTACTGTAGCTAAAAGATGAGTTATAATGATTGGCTAAGCCTGGACCATGTTACCTTTCAAGGGCCTTTAGTACTGTGGTTACTTGGTGCTAATGGTTAGCAACCTTGCCCAGATTGACACCAGAGAGGGCTTAACCAGCAGCTCCTCAGCTGTTTGCCAAATAGGATGTTGCTCAACTGTGTCACTTGTCTTTTTTTTTCTCCCCAAGGTCGTCTACTTGTAGACATGCCCAACTCCATTGAAGACACTTATAAAGCCAAAAAAAGAGATCCTGAACATTTGGTCAAGGATGTGTGGAGTGAAGAGGCCCCATAACTGTAGCTGGTGGGCAAGCACCAATCGAGACCCTGAACCACAACTATGGTTAGTGATACCTCTGTCATATCTGTTTCCCTATCAGCACACCCCTACTTGCATTTTGAGCCACTGTATTTCTTCCTAAAGCTTTATTATTCATAACTTGGATAAATCACCTCTCTTTCTGCCTTGCCTTTTTAAGTATACTTCAGTTTATTTAGTGGCCATCAGGTGGTGATTGGAAGGAGCAGAGCTGGTTTAGCCTTCTAATACTAAGCCTTAGGAAGGTATCTGATCCCAAATGCTCAGAGATTTCGTGAATATGGATTTCTCATTCTTCAACTGATACAGTTCTTCTGCATTAGAAAAAGTATCACTCAACAAAATGCCTATTAACACTCCACCCCCTTTTAAATTCCTTTAAACATCTTATATTCATGCTTCTTTTTATTCTTTATTTTATTTTTAATAAAAATTGTATATACTTAAGGTATACAACATAATTTGATACAAAAATTAAGAAAATAATTCCATTCACAATAGCATCAAGAATTGTCTAAATTCCGTGAAAAAAAGATGGGTACACTTGAATCTATCAAATATTGCTGAAAGAAAGGAAATTACTAAATAAATGGAGAGACATTTGATGTTCATGGATTGGAAAACTCAATATTGAGCAAACTGGTCCATAAGTTTAATGCCATTCCTATCAAAATCCCAATAGCTTTTTAAATAAATTGACAAGCTGATTCTAAATTTTATATGAAAATGCAGAAGACCTAGTATAACCAAAACAATTCTGAAGAGAACAAAGTACTTACTCCCTGATTTCAAAACATATTACAAAATTACAGCAATCAAGACATTGTGGTATTGTCATTTTCAGTAGGCATGTAGTTCAATAGAACAAAATTGAGACCCCAGACATAAAACCTTATATTTATGGTTAATTAATTTTTATAAAGGTACCAAGACAATTCAGTGCAGAAAGGGTTGTCTTTTTAATAAACGATACTGTGATAATTATATACCCGTAGTCAAAAAAATCATAACTTAGACCCTTAACCTTCCCCCCCGCCCACACACACACACAAATGAACCATGGATTTAAATGGAAGGGTTAAAACTGTGAAACTTCTAGAAGAAAACAGGTGGAAATCTTTGTAAACTTGGATTAGGGAAAGAGTTCTCAAACACACCAAAAGCATTATCCTTCAAAGATAATATTGATATGTTAGACCCTACTTGCACTTCAAAAGACACCAGTATACTACGAGATATTATTTTGCAACCATAGGACAGCTGAAATTTTAAAAACAGGCTATACCAAGTATTGGCAAGGATGAGTAGAAATTGGTACCCTTATACATTGCTATGGGATTGTAAAATGGTTGCAGCTACTCTGGGAAACAATTTGGCTGTTCCTCAAAATGACAAACACAAAGACACCGTATGACCCAGCAATCCCATTCATTGGTATATACCAAGAGAAATGGAAATATATGTCCACACAAAACTTGTATACAAAATGTTCATAGCAGCATTATTCATAAAAGCCAAAAAGTAGAAACAATATAAATGTTCATCAGTTGATGAATGAATAAACAAAATCTGAAATATCCATGTAATAGAATATTACTCAGCCATAAAAAGAATGAAGTATTGATTCATGCTATAACTTGAATGAAGCTTGACAACATTATGCCAAGTGAAAGAAGCCAGATGCAAAAAACTACATATTTTATTATTCCATTTATATGAAATGTCAAAGAAAAGTTTATAAAGACAGAAAACAAATCAATAGTTGCCTGGGACTGGGGGTGGGAACAGGCATAAGGAAAACTTTTTAGGATGATGGAAGTGTTCCAAAACTGGATTGTGGTGATAGATGCCCAACTGTAGAAGTTTAACAAAAATCATTGAATTGTAAACTTACAATGTGTCAATTTTATGGTAGGTAAATTATAGCTCAAAGGAGCTGTTAAAAAATAAGTCAGCAATGGGATCTTGTTAAAAACTGAAAAAATAAAAGTAGATAGGCCCATAATAAAGAGCATTGGCAATAGATTGAGAGCCTCTCAAACAGCATCTTCAAGAAAATACTCTTTTGTAGTGCCCACAGCTCACTTGCAAAATAACCAGAAATACGTAAACGGGCAAAAAAGAAAGAAAACACTCTTCTAAAAGTCATTCCAGATATTTACTGTCACTTTAAAAAGTGACAGGGTACAAATAGTGATCAGCTACAATATTTAGCTTCTCAAAATCACATTTGTTTCACAATATCAAAATGCTTACACAACTGACAACAGATAAGACATTCCATTAGAAGAGAGGGTGAAAATATGGGAATCCTCTTTGTCTGATACCTGTTTTATTTTGTTTTGACTTTAAGCTTTAATTTATGTTTTGCTAATGTGCATCTAAATTCTATGCAGTTGGCCACACTCTCTTCTGAGAAAGAAAAAAAATAACATGTCAATTGAGTAAATTATTGTTTTATTTTATTTGTGTATTATGTCATGCTATTAGAACTAGAGCAACTCCCAGAAACACTAATCCATAGTCTTCACTGAAGAGTCTGTTTCTTGCCATCAGTGCACAAAACTACAAGAGGTTGATTTACTTTCAGAAGAAATCAACAGGAGATTACTAATGAGCCTTGATAACTCACTTTATATGTGGCACAAACAAAAGGACATTTCACTTTGAAGGAGAATTATAAACATAACACACCCTATTACAGTCATTAAATCATTGATTCTGATGGTAAGATTGGAATGCAAGCAAGTAAAACAATTTTTTTTTTAAAGACTGTGCTATTTCCATAGTCTTAATAATACTCCAACACTGGTTTTCTGCAATGACTATCCTAAGGAGAAGAAAATCTACCAAAGAAGAGGATGCTGTTGGACTCCTGGTGCTTGATGAAGAACAGGAAAGGGTGATTGCAATGAAAATGTTCACAACCCGGGGCTGAGGTGAGGGCGAAGCCCACACTGGTGGCTGCCGAAGACTCAGTGCCTTCCTCGGTTACCACCATGAAGGACCTGTGTAGGAACTTGTGTGCGTGCAGCCTGGAGGGTGAGGACATCCCGGGATAGTCAGCTCTGCACACGCTGAAGGCTTCTCGCATCCCCATGGCTGCCAAGACAGCCTCCAGATCATAACCATCCTCCACTTCAAACCAGGGCAAGTGCAAGGTCACGTTCCTTTCTTCCATATGCCCTGGGCTCGTCCACTCTATTAGTTTTTCTGGAGTTATTTGATCTATAACCTATTAAGAAAAAAAGGAGGGGAAGGTGGTATGGTTATCAATACAAAGCTGAAACACTGTAACACTGATTTGTATCAATTAGAAATTATTTATTTTAATAATGAATAAAAGTAGAAATTTTATTTCACTAGACTCTTGTCTTTATATAGCAGGCACTTGTCTTATACTTCTTTATTTAATTATCTGTGTATATGTGAAAACTCAAGAGTATTAAATGAATCTTTAAAGATGAGAAATAAGTTCTTATTCTATCCATCTAATACATATCATTTTTTACTATTCCCCTGTAGTCTTTTATGAATATATGATATATAATTTATATATATTAAGTTGTATATATGAATTATATATAATTAAAATGCTATAATTAATATAATTTATATTATATAATATATATATTTACATAGTTGCAATCACAGTGAATGTCCATGTTACTTGTTTTAATGTAAACTTTTTCACAAATCTGTATCTCTCCTAAATATCTTCAAACTGATAGATAATAAGTCCATCGAGCTGATAAATTTTGCCAAATATTCATCCATTCACTTTACAGTCATCTCGTATGTATCCAGCATGATAGATGCTGATAGATACTGTGGATCCCAAAATAACAATTATGATGATGATGATGAATTTCAAACTATGTATCCTAGTGTATTTAATGCAGAAATTACTGATTTCACTCAGAAAGGCAATTTTTTTCTTTTGAATTATTTCTCTAAGGCAATCCCCACAACTGGGATTTGGGGGTCAGAGTATGAATATTCTTAAAGCTTTCATACATATCGCCATTTTGCCGTCCCAAAGTTTTCCAACGTATAATGCTACTAGAGATGTTTCACAGCAGCAGAACGCAATCTAGTATTACAATAATATAATATCTATCATTTACTGAGTACTTCCATGTACTGGATCCATTCTAGGAGATATCTTAGTCTAAGTTTAAATCAAAGGGACTAAGTCAAGGGGTTCAAGATTAAAGGTCTTATGGATTTGGGATGATTATTATGTGTCGATGTAGGTTCATCCTTGTTTTAAAAAAAAAAAATTACCATTCTGTTAAGTGATGTTGATTATGAGGGAAGCTGTGTATGTGTAGGGCCGGGGGATACATGGGAAATCTCTGTACCTTTCTCTCGATTTTGCTGTAAACCTAAAACTGCTCCAAAAAAAATAAAATCTTTAAAAAGAAATTAAAGGCCCAAGAAAGAAATTCAGGAGGTCTAATAGCCTGCTGAACAGGATGCAAAATTTGCTGTATGTGCAAATGCAATTTTCTGGGAAAAAGAAATAGAGATCAACCATAGAGATCATACCATTTCTCAGAATGGCGGTTGATCTTTAGAACTCCCATATGACCTTAAATGTTCATTTTAGCTCATCCTCAAATATTTTGGTTATTGGTTGTTTTCAATAAACCTGATATCATCTAATGTTCCTCTTTAGACATCCATCTATAGTTGCTGCACAGAATGAGAAATATTTTCTGCTTGGCACTGCCAGACACCAGCTCCCTAACAGAAGCCCTGTTTCCAGGCTCACCCAGAAACAAGCTTTGGGATGCAGAGCCTCAGGAAATGAAAGCAAGATTGGGGGAGATGCAAGGTTTTACCTTCTCCAGACCATCTATGTCATTGGGCAGCAACACAAACATGCTTAGGTCGTTGTTCTTATATGGAATCCCCAGGAGTTGGGCTTGCAAGTCCTCCAGGAAAGTGAAGCTAAAGGAATGGCACTGGGTCATCATTGGCACAGATTTGCTTGTACTCTGCAACAAAGCACCAGAGCATGCCATGTCAAAAGAGGCATAAGACAACCAAGTTAGCTCACCAAGGTAATTAGCTCAACACAAAACAATGCTAAAGATCAGAGCCTCAGAGTCAACTTTGCTATCTACCATGGACATTTGCTCAAATATGACTTTAGATGTTACATTCCATGTGTAAACGCATCACATAAATAAATTAAGGACCATACCTTGTTCAGCCAAAATTCCTCCTCCTTGGTATTTTCTTTCTTAAACTCCCTGTCCCATTGCCCTTTAAAATAAACTATGTTCACCAGCACCAGCTTGGTGAAGCTGTTTAGAGAACCATCTGGAAACAGGTCCTTGATTTTTTCTGCAAACAAACAACAACAACAAAATTGGCCTATCTTCAAAACCACAAGTGCTACGCATGGCAAATACGATGCAGATGGACTTGACTCATCATTAAAAACTCAGCCAGGTCAGCACCTGAAGGCCTTGCTGACAAAAGGTTTGCTGGCAGAATCGTAGGGAGGTTCTCACTTTGCCCATCGCCTGTTTATCCCATTGGATAAATTGAGTTGTGATGGTTAAGAGTTCAAGCTCTGAGATCAGATTGCCTCTGTGAGCATCCAGTTTTGCCTCTTACAGGTTGAGGAATCTCGGGCAAGTTATTTAAGCTCACTGTGCCTCAGTTTCCAAATCTGTAAAACAGGAATAAAACCTGCCTCATAGAGTTATTGCAAGGAGTAGATGACTTAATATGTGTAAAACACTTATAATGTTATCTGGCTCATAGGAAGCATTCAGTAAGTGTTAGCTGTTATTATTTTTACCCATTTGATATAGTTACCACCCAAAACTTAGAGATTTTTATATTATTGGAAAAGGAGCTAATGTTTTTGTCTCTGGGTTTAGCCTATCCCACACTGAATACTGCCTTCAATCAGCCCTTTGATAGGCCCTCTTTTTTCCTGCTCTTCCAAATTTTATTTCATTTTTTGGACTAAGTTTGAAGACCAAAAAATGCATTGTGAAATAATAATGTCTTCCTGATAAGTGGAATTTAAAAAAAAAAATGTATTTCTGAAACTCTAACGCTAAAGTATCCGCTATTGCTCCCCAAAGTGTATTTCCATATTAATAGTCCTGTCTGGTATTTCCTGTGCATTTGCCTCCTACTAGGGGATAAGGAGGGAGGATGAAGTGAGGGCTCTGTCAAGTTCTCTGCTGTGAATGGGGCTGAAAGTTGTAATCACCCCGGCATGACGCTCAAGTGGAGCTGAAGCCTGGGCAGCCCCAGCTGTAGGTAGTAAAGCAGGTCTTAATGGGAGGAGACTGAATGTTTCTCACTTGACAAAGAGAAAGGAACCACTCTGTGACATTTCCACTTATGGACCCAGACTCAGAAAGGAAGGATCTGATATAAAGGAAAAGATGTGAACCCAACAGAGACATTAGTCCAGTTTCAGGAGCCCCAAAGATATCGTGAACCACAGTCATGTGCAAGTCCGTCTCCACTATGTTTTTCCATGAAGTTGGCTTCCTGTGGTCCCTCTCTGGTGCCCCTTGGCTCTCTCCCATTTGCTGAGACCATTCCACCAACTGTAGTATCTTTTCCCACTCCTCATGCCCAGTGCTGCCCTTCTAACCCTGAAAAATTTATCTCAAGTCTGCATCCCCCAAAAGCTTGTGCACCCTGGTCCCACATGCAGTGTCAAGCTCAGGTCTTCTCTCAGAGCAGGTACTCAAGAAGTGTTTTCTGTTAAATGACCAATCCATACTCTACCATTTGTTTGGCTTTCGACCCAGGAATTAATCTTCTTTCGACTTTCATCTGCTGCATTTACAAAATCAACAGGTTCCAGAGAAGCATGGTAATATTTTTCCACATAATCTAAGTATTTCTTTAGGAGGAACAGAGAAGGAATAGAAAGAGGATGAAAATTCAATCTATCCATTTCCTACATCTCTAAATAAATGTGTCTCTACATTAAGATGACTAATATTGTTAGCAGGGAATTTTAGGACCTGGGCAAATCACTTTGAGTACTTCCATGCCCATTTTTTGCAGGTGCAATAGGCTTAAGGCAAAACCCAGAATTAGACTGCCAGAATTAAAAAGAAGCTCCCAAAGGGTCTGGATGTCTGGAGAACAGGCAGGGGAACACACCCAGTGATGTGGGCTGAGCCAGAGAGTCAGCTTAGGCAGCATGCCTCCAGGACCCACCGTCCTAAAAGGGCCATTGGCCATTCGTTAATACCACTCACAGATGTGGTGGACTCAGCAAAACTTACTTGAAGGAAGAGGTATGTCTTTTCTCCAAATAGCCTGTTGGCTATTTTTAGTTCATAATCATTAGTGGGTTTGCCTATCTCATCCAAAAACTCTTGGAATTGGTGATGTATCTCTTCTGTCTTGTCAATCTTCAAAATCAAAACAAGAGATATGTTATATATATATTATGTGCTGTATTCTTACAATGAAGTAAGCTTAAGAAAAGCAAATGTTATTAGGAAAATCATAAGGAAGACAAAATACATTTACAGTACTGTGTTCTATTTATCCAAAGAAAATCCTATCTAAGTGGATCTGTGCTGTTCAACCCCATGTTATTCAAGTGTCAACTGTGCATGAACATCAATGACTGGGGATTTCAAGGCCAGTGGGGTCAGGTCCCACTCTCTCTGTACAACAGTATGAAATGGGCCAATGTACACTGCTAAGTGGAACAGATATTGCTATAATCCCTTTGGCAAACAATTGGTTAATATTTAATGAAGTCAAACATACATAAGCCCTACCTCCCACATATGTACTAGAGACCAGTAATGTCCCATAGAAATATAATGCATGTGAACCACATTTATATAATCTTAAATTTTCTAGTAACTACATTCTTAAAAGTAAAAAGAAACAGATGAAATGAAATTTAATATTATATTTTACCAAACCAAATCTATCTAAAACATCATTTCAATGTAACTATAATACATAACTACATATTAAGTATTATAAATTATTTCAACAAAAATAACATATAAAAATTAACAAGATATTTTACATCTGTGACACACAAAAAAAATGTATATTTGGTTTCTTTCTCCAATTCCTAACAGAGCTCGTAAGCCTTGTAATTTGCTGAGTGATAGGGGTACCAGGAGCATCTTTTGTTTTAATATTTGCTCTTTGATCCCAGTTCCTGACACAGAACTCCTAAATCCGTTGTAATTTCCTGGTATAGGAGCATCTTTTGTTCTAATGAAACAACTATCGGTGGGATCCTGAACAGCTTCAAGGTGGGGGCTGGTCTCCAGAAAAGACCAAACCATAATTAGAAGCTTAGAATTTTCGGCCCCATCTCCCATCCTCCAGGGAAAGGAGAGGGGCCGGAGATAGAGCTAATAGTTGATCATGCCTATATGATAAAGCTTTCATAAAATTTCCTGAACTACAGTGTTTAATGAGCTTCTGGGTTGGTGAACACATCCATGTCCTAGGGGGGTGGTGCACTCCAAAGTCCACAGTGACAGAAGCTCTTGCTCTTGGGACAATTTGAGATCTCACCCGGTATCTCTTCATCTGGCTGTTCATTTGCATCCTTTACAGTAAACTAGTGTTTCCCTGAGTTCTGTGGGCCATTATAGCAAATTAGCAAACCTAAGTAGGATGTAATAGGATCCTCTGATTTGTAGCCAAGTCGGACAGAAGTGTGGGTGATCTGGGAACTCACTTCCTTGCAATTGGCATCTGAAGTAGGGCAAGTCTCGTGGAATGCAGCCCTTAATGTTTGGGGTCTGCTCTGACTCCAGGCAGTTAATGTCACAATTGTTTAACATGAGGGGGAAAAACCCACATTTGGTGTCAGAAGTGTTGTGAGTAGTAAAGCAGTTTTCCTTCAACAACTCTTGAAATCATCAAGACCTCATACTAAAATCTTGAAATTCAATTTTTAAAAGCAAGGTTCAGAATACCCTGAATTCATGTGATAATCAAATGTACATCTGGCATGTCTTTGGGCAGCTCATTCTACTCATCTGTTTTCTCATCGATTAAGCAAGGAGATTAGGGGCGCCTGGGTGGCTCAGTCGGTTAAGCGTCTGCCTTTGGCTCAGGTCATGATCCCAGGGTCCTGGGATCGAGTCCCACATCAGGTTCCCTGCTCAGCGGAGAGCCTGCTTCTCCCTCTCCCTCTGCTTTCCTCTCTGCCTACTTGTGCTCTCTATCTCTCTGTTAAATAAATAAATAAAATCTTTAAAAAAAAAAAAGAAAGAAAGAAAGAAAGGAGATCAGAGTAGACGGCCTCCAAGACAGGCCCCAGTCCTGATATCCTTTCAGTCAGTAATTCTATTCTTCTTCGTACCTCCGTGACTCACAGAAAAGTCCTGAGGTATGGACAGAGCTGCTATGCAGAGCTGTACACGTTGTGCCCAGCACAAAGCTGAAATTCAGTCCTCATCCCCATCACCAAGCCAGGAGTGGGCACCTGTCCAAGGGGGTGTCCTTTTTTCTAATTCCCACAAAGATTCTGTACAGGCTACTATGCTTGGGAGGGAGAAGGCTCTGAAAGCAACAGTGCTCCTTGACTGAGTGGACAGTGGAGGAGCTGTCTGACCCAACGCTGTTGCACAAACTTCGTGAGGAAGCCTGACTCTCCACATACGCCACTGAGCCAACCAGACAACCTGACCGTGTGGGATTGTGAAATGAACAGCTCATACTGCTGGGTGACTGGAGCCATGATTTTATGAGCGTCTGGGACTGAGCTATGACTACTGTCAGGCAGATGTGCCCCTCCTGAGAGTTCTAACCATCTCCAGATGCTAGCCCTGACCTATGAACTTCCCCATGTTTGAGCAGGTTGTCCTTTAGGTAAGGAATACTACAACCTAGAGCTGGAAGAGACCCTAAGAAGTCAGTGGTCTTGTGCTAATATATTTTTAAAATGAAGTATCAGCAAGGGGGCTTAAAATAAAAATGGAACGTAGTAATAGTATTGCCTACTACCACCACCATTATTACTGGGTGAGTCACCAATGTGTTCCAGATGCCCCACTGGACACTTCATGGAGGCTCAAAGAAAATAACTTGCCCAAAGTAGCATGGCTGTTACGTGACTGAGTCAGGATTTGAACTCAAATCTGTTTAACTCCTAAACCCATTCACTCTGCCACGGGGACTTTTCAGTCTATGGGCACCTACATCAGAGTGGTCAATGTGCTTTAAAGTTAAAGTCTCCTACGGGTGTGTGGGTGGCTCAGTCGGTTGAGCGTCTGACCCTTAGTTTCAGCTCGGGTCATGATCTCAGAATCCTGAGATCACGCCCCGCTTGGGAGGTTCTTTCCCTCCCTCTCCCTCTCCCCTGGCTCGTGCTCTCTCTCCCCCTCTCTAAAGTAGATAAATACATCTTTTTTGAAAAGTCTCCTCTTAATATTAAGGGTTTATTATTATATAATACTAGCAACCCTACTTGGCTGCAGTGATTGCAATTGCCTAAAAATAAGTATGAACTATTAGCTCTCCTACACATTTTCCCAGGGAGCCCACATCAACAAAGCAGCCATCCTGAAGGTTTCAACACCTGTCTCCTCACCATTTTTTCCTCGGTCTTGATTCTTGAGCTCTCTGCATCTTTTTCAGAGAAAAGCATCTGGAAGGGACAGAAAATAGTATGGTTGTGGTCAGAATAGAGAAACCCTCACACAGAATCAGTAAAATGTTTAAGAAACCTCAGTGGCAAACAGGTAACATGTCTCTCCTTTGCAAAATCATGCAAAGGTCTCAACTGCCCATTGATCTCACCTACAGTGGTTTAGCCATTCGTGTACTGATCTTTGATGTGTCATTTATAGCCTAGTGGGGATTATGCAACTTCTTCCAGTAGGTTCTGTTCTTCATGCTCTATCTTTAATTATGAAGTTAATGACTTTGGACAAGTCCATTCAGCCCCCACTCAAAGGAATTTCAAGCACCAAGAAGCAGATGGCATGGCGATATTTGGAGAAGGAGGAGGACTTCCCTGACAGATCTGAAATTGCTCTGTGTCTTCATATGCATTCTCTGTTTCCCGGCCCCATTTCAGGGTAATGCTGGAGGGCAGCCGCCAGAGACGAGCCCATGCTGGACAGCAACAGGAGGCTCCTTACCTTCTGTAACTGGACCGCGGTGGCTCCTCGGGCCTCCAGGACGAGCATGCCAATGGCAGCTGAAATGCCCACAGGGGAAAAGAAGATGTTGCCATCATGTATTTTATTCAGCTTTTGGAAGAGATTAAACCCAAACTGAGTGTATGCTGCAGCGGGTGAATCCATGAAGATTCCAGCAAGATCTAGAACAACAACAACAATCAAAACCAAACGAGAACATTTCACTTGTTTGAATTCCTTTATGTCACAGGAGCCCTTCCTGCTTCTCTTCCTCTCCCTGCATTGATTCAGAAAATAGAGATTATCAGCCTCCCAGGGAAAACTCACTGCTGTCTGCTTCTCCCCCTTTTCTTGGCCTTCTCTGGACAGGAGACGTGAATCAATCTGACAGCATACGGTGTTTCTGTTCTCATTTCCCCAGGCAGTGGGGTTAATGCCTAAATGGTTTCCTTCTCTCTTGTTCTCTGCCAGAGCCTGCCTGTATCTGCCCGCTGCCTCGTCCTGTGCCAATCTTCCCCTGGCAGGCCCAGTCCTTGCCTGTTCCTGTCTAGCTGTCCAGCTACTGGCCCATGATCAGGCCAGGGGAAGGCCTAGGAATCCCTGCTGACCTCAGGTCCAAGCAGTGTTCCAGCCTTAAAATAATAAAGCCAACAGCTCCTCCTTCTCTGATACTTTCTATTTCTCAACTGATTCGAGATCTAGTGCAGCGAGTGGCCGGATACATTAATTCTCTTAAACCCCGATCCCTAACTGCATGAAAACTTGACTCGGCGCTGAATTTTCCCTGAAGGGCAAAGATATATCTCTTTGCCATGGATTATTAAGTAGGGGAGAGAGTGTTTTCTTTTCTACACTTTTCTATATTGTTTCAGGCTCATACCATGAGTTCATGTTACTTTTGTTATCTCACACAAAAAGAAATAATTTTGGGGCGCCTGGGTGGCTCAGTTGGTTAAGCAACTGCCTTCGGCTCAGGTCATGATCCTGGAGTCCCTGGATCGAGTCCCGCATCGGGCTCCCTGCTCGGCAGGGAGCCTGCTTCTCCCTCTGACCCTCCCCCCTCTCATGTGCTCTCTGTCTCTCTCATTCTCTCTGTCTCAGATAAATAAATAATAAAAAAAAAAAAAGAAATAATTTTAAGAGCAATTAATATTTACCAAAATAAGCAAATAAGACACATTTTATATTTTCCTCCCCAGCAGCTATGTTATAACTAGTTTATAAAGGCTTCCAGAAAAATCCTAAAATAAGAATGAGATTAATTAATGCAGAATAAAATTTTTTGCAAGCCTAAATACTTTGAAGGGGTTTGGCCATCAAGGGCCCATCCCTGCTAAGGCATTCTACATCTGCTGTTAAAACTTCCATTTCAACCCCAAGTTGCCTTGCAGGGATTCCTTGCAAGTTAACTGAGAAATAGAATGAATTAACTTACTGTCAAACAAGATGATGATACATTGTCACCATATGGCTGTGTAGGCCCTGTATTAAATAAAACCAGCCCAAGGAAAACTATGCATAACAAAAGTACTTCTTTCAAATCAGCAAACATCAGTGTTCTTAAAAAACAGAAGTCTTAAGTTGAAGCCGAAGAAAAAACTTACCTGGTTTTTGGAGACAGAGGTGGCTGGGCAAAGAAGCAGGAAGCATGCGTAACATAAGTTGTTGAGATCTTTAATTTATAGCACTCTCTCCGCCTCTCCCTAGTCATTATCGTTGCATCTCCAGTGAAACAACCTTTGGTTTCTCAATGACTATTTCCCTAATAAAAATTAACATGCAAGGTTTTTGACAAAACTGAGGATCGGATTTCCTATTTCTTCCACTCGTGGCCATGAAGTTATGCACTTGTTGTCAGTAATTGTTCTGTGAACTCAAAAAGGGTGCACCTTAAGACATAGAGGAATAGAGTTTAAATTCTAACTTCTCCAAAATCCCTTACAAAGGATTTTGGAGGCCCAAGCATAAAAAGATAAAAATCAACCAGACAGGAAAATAAGACTAAAAGCAGGAGCTCAACCCAGGACCCAAGTGGCTGAGTCAAATGAATTTTGACCCAGGTGGAGAGACTGTGAAAGGGCCTTCATCCCCAATGATCTTGGGGATCCTCTGGAAAGAATTGTTCAGAACACTGTTTCTCCATCTTAGATACAAATAAAAGGGATGCCCAGACAACTTAAGTGAGCATTTTCTAGGATGAGAATCAGATATCAGAATTTTTATCACCCCAGCCAAGGTTGGAAACCACTGGCTTATAGGCTTATAGCCTGACGAAGATCTGATTTAATGAATACTTTACTTACCATGGATGAGCAGGGCTATGTCCTGCAATATTGCAGTCTCTGCAATAAAGTTAACTTAGCAGTTGCATTATTTTGAGATGTCAAATGCAAAGAAGAATGAAAGAAAACTATCTTGCTAGAAAAGAAGCAGAAGAAGTAGTGAGAAAAGTTTGGGCAGACAGCTAGCCCCCCCCACACACACACACACACACCACTCTTGTTCTCAAGCATTCTTTCCATGAATTATGAAATCCCTCATTTTAGTTGACTCTGTAAACACTTGGTGACAGTCTACTATGTACCAAACACTGGGCTAAGGACCAATAACTCATAAACATCCAACAAGCTCGCCGATTTCAGGAAAACAACACTATTTCAAAAAAAAAAAAAAACTCAATAAAAAATACATCTCCAAATTCCAGTTTTTCCTGCTAATCCTGAGGCATCCCTACCATCTCTACTGGTCCATTAAAGAAACAGTGCTTGCTACTAGGTATTTATCCAAAGGATACAAGCATAGTGATTTGAAGGGACACATGCACCCCAATGTTTATGGTAGCAATGTCCACAATTACCAAAATATGGAAAGAGCTCAGATGTCCATCGACAGATGAATGGATAAATAAGATGTGGTATATATGTACGATGGAATATTACTCAGCCATCAAAAAGAATGAAATCTTGCCATTTGCAACAGTGTGGATGGAACTAGAGGGTAATATGCTAAGCAAAATAAGTCAATCAGAGAAAGACAAATACCATATAATTTCAATCATATGTAGAATTTAAGGACTAAAACAGATGAACAAAGGGGAAGGGAAGGAAAAATAAAATAAGAGGAAAACAGAGTGGGAGGAAAACTATAGAGACTCTTAACTACAGAGAACAAACTGAGGGATCCTGGAGGGGAGGTTGGTGGGAGGGATGAGGTATCTGGGTGAGGGGCATTAAGGAGGGCACCTGATGTAATGAGCACTGGGTGTTATATGCAAATGATGAATCACTGAATTCTACCTCTGAAAATAATTATACACTATATGTTAATTAAATTGAATTGAAATAAAAAAATAAAAAGTGCTTGGATTATTCTCAACTTTAGTCTTGGGTAAAGGGTGTGAAAATTTGTCATCGTTGCCAAGAAACAAATCTTAGAAGGGCATCTTAGCTCTTCCTTCTCACCTGCAAGTCTGCCGAAGGAAGCAGCTCAGTGATGAACCTTCTAAGGGCACGGGTAATGTATGTGCCAGTCTCAACACTGAAAATTTGCCTTCTGTTTTTTAATATTCTGATTACAGCTCTTTAAGCAACTCAAAATAGTAGTTAATTAATTTTACTTTCTCATTGTCACTGAGAGATACACCAATTGGGTAAGACTTGGAAAAAATCAGCACTTGGTTATGGAGTCAATCCTGGATGCCCTTGAAATGAAGATGTTGGTTTTTTTAAAATGGTATGAAATCTCTGAGTTGGCAATAATGCTCTATGTTTGAACATCCCTATCAGTATACGTCTTCTAATTCCTTTCTCTGTGACCCTAGACCCCATGTTCTATGGTCCAGCTACCTCCACAAGCCCTCCGCTTTTTCCTAAGGCATTTCCTCTACCAGGCACTTTCATGGGGAGGCCTGGCTTTCCCCTGAGGACCACACATTCCACAGTCTTTCCTGGGACAACCACACATATCTTGGGATCAGGAAGCAAGGTCCCCATGCCTAGTGTCATACTCTAGCTCCTTCCAAAGACTTTCTTCCTTCAATCAGCTTCAGTGTTCCCTTTAGAGACTTACCCCTTCTTTCCCCAACCATATCTCCCCCCACCCAACTGTGCACATGCAAGTTATTCCTGTCTGCTCTAACCCCACCCCTCCTCTGTATATCTTCACAGTCCATGCTGGCGGCATCTCCCACTTTCCTGACCCTCCCCTTCCCTCTCCTCTGTGATCCACATACATGGTCACACTTTGGGTGTCGTCACCACCAGGAACTGCTCCTACTGGAAATTACTGGACCCCAAAACTCCCCCCTCTGGTTATAGATTCTCATTCTTGTTCTTCCTAAACCTAATCTTCAATGTCATCACAGCCTCCAATCATTGGACCCCTCCCTAACCTTCTATCTCATTAGCCCCTTCCTCCTAGTATCAAAACAGTCCTAAAGGTAGAAAAGAACACTGATAATTAGAAACCATAAAAGCGGTTCCAATGCTTCTGAGTGAGGACATGAAAATAATTAAGCCCTGAGCCAGAGCACTTGGGGTTCCCCACCCATCCCAAGTTTTGGCACAACCTCTGCACATCTGTGATTGATACTGACATGTGACACTTTTCTTCCCCAAGCCTATAATGTAATGGTTGCTGCTGGGTCCCAACCAGATTCCCTTTGCTAGCCAGTACTTCTGGCTGCTGTTTTGGCTGACGATTCAAATGGGAGCCATGCAGCATGCCACTCCCGGCCCGGGCACACCTCAGTTGTGACTCACGGCATAATGATATAAAAGGACAGGACAGCCCCCTTGCATCAAAACAGGACTGACTTTGTACTGTAATTTGTCCTCCAGAGCTTCAGCCATGTGATCAGAGTGAATCCAATCTCTAGCTGCGACCACATGATTGATGAACAGGTTTCCCTTCCCTGTCCTGCTTCTCTCAAGGAAACCCTCTCCTCTCCTCCTCACCCAGAAAACTCCCTGAACAAGAACCCCTGTCTGCAGCAGCTGACCAAGACCATGTGTCTTCATATCTAGCCCAAGCAAGCTCTCTCACTGTTTGTGCTTTCTAAACATTCCTTGACAATTCTTGCACATACTCTCCTTTAGATGAGCTTTTCCACCAGTTTACCAAGGTCTATGGAAATTTCCCCAGGGATTTAGATTGGAACCTTTAGA